CACCTCTGAGGGCTAATGGTTCGGTAAATGTTAATTTTCACAAGCTAGCTTAGTACTTTCTTTGTAGGCATTTCTCACACTCAACTCACTGCTATTGAGTGGATTTTGACTCAAAATGACCCTTGTGGGTTTCTGAGACTAACTTTGTACTGAAGTAGAAAGCCTTTTCTTGCTCCCATGGAGCAGTTGGTGGTTTTACACTGCTGACCTTGCTGACAGCAGCACACCGTGTAAGCCACTATACCATCAGGGCTCCTTAGTCAGTCACTGAATATTGGCACTTTTGAGAGATTTTTCTCAAATGGTGTATAAACCTCAAAGTAAAAATTTAAACTTTTCAAATAAAAAAATTAAAGCCCAAACTAAACACCTGAAAAGTAAATGCTATATAGCACAAGATGTTTACCAGTAATCAAAATAAAATTTATCTATAAGGTCACTTTCTGTATCTAAAAGGAACATAAGCAAAGATCATGAAGCCATTAGATCTGGATGTATATCCTGCCATTTTCTATGTGGGAAACACTGAGACTCAGTAAATTGGTCAAGGGCATTCTTCTCATGAAAAAGTGGCGGTAATACCTACTTTGTATACTTGTTATGAAGATTAGATACAAGGAACCTAGTACAATGCTGGGCAAGAGTAAATAATGAATTCTTGATAAATGGCAGGTATTGTTATCATTTCCACTACAACTAAACAAACTGCTTTGCCACATTTACCTAATTAAGTAATGGCATGTAACTAATTACCTAAAATCCAGTTTATTATGCTATTTAATATATCTTATTCTTTTGAGATAATCTCGACTTACTGACACCAGGAATGACAGATCTACTCCTGGCCAAAGGAATATGGTCTTGAGATACTCAGGCAGCAGGAAAACATCTTTGACATACAAGCAATTTCATATTATCGTGCTTTATTACTTAAGGGGGAAAACGCATGTAAAATATAAGACAAGGGGAAAACTGTGGCTCACTTTAATCATTAACTTCAAAGTTTCTTTTACTGATGCATATATGCTATCGGGGTTATTGAAGGGTTACATCTCACACTGAAAAGTAAATGGAGGGCAGTGAATGTACAAATGTGCTTCACACAATTGACTATGTATGGATTGTGATAAGAGTCGTATGAGCCCCTAATAAAACGATTTAAAAAAAAAAGAAAAAGAAATCAAATGAGGGGGCGGGAGGAGGGGAATGAGGAGCCGATAAGTGCTTAAATAGAAACTAAATGTTTATAAAATAGTGATGGCAACATACGTACAAATATGCTCGAAACAATTGATGTATGGGTAGTTATATAAGAGCTGTTAAGAGCCCCCAATAAAATGGAAAAGATGTCATCAAAAGTTAAGCAGAGGAGGGGTTACAGGAGACACAGAAAAAAAGTTGAAAGTAAAATCTACTTTGGCTCTAACTGGGCATTTATAGTGTCTCCAAAGGCAAACAACTGGAATCATAAAAATTCATTTTCTGAACAGTTTAATACCATGTAAACTTAGGTAGTCAGAACTGGAAAACATTTTACTTGATGACATTTAGCTTATTACCTAAAATCCTACTGAGTATGCTACTTAATATAGCTTATTCTGCTGAGATTAGGAATGACAGTTTCCCTGTGACTTAAATTTAACAAAAGAACCTAGATAAAACACGAAAATCTGTTGTTTAAAACTCTTACCTTTACCTCACCACCCATAGAAGCAGTAGGCAAGAAATCAAACAATGATGTATTCAGTTAAACAAATCTGCTGCAAAAGACCTCTTTTTAAAGTGTTACGGAGCAAAGATATCACTTTGAGGACTAAGGCACACGATTGGAATCGTGATATTTTTATCTGCCTCATATGCATGGCAAAGCTGTATAAAGGCCAAAGAACTGATGCCTTTTAATTGTCGTGTTGGGGAAGAACATTAAAAATACGATGAATTGCCAGATGGAACAACTCTGCCTTGGAAGAAATACAGCCAGAATACTCTGTAGAAGTGAGGATGGCAACTTTTCATCACACAGACGTTGGGGATGCTATTCGGAGGGTCTAGTGCCCGGAGAATGGTATCATGCTTGCTAGAGGGTTAGTGAAAGAGAGACCCTCCACAAGATGGGCCGACACAGTGACTGCACTAACGGGCTCAAACGTCACAGCAGAATGGAGGAGCAGGCAGTGTTCTGTTCTGCTGTGCACAGGGCTCCAGGGACTCCTCAGTACCTATTCTCCCACCCTCCCCTCTCTACACGAGCAGCTCTTTCCACAGAGACAATAAAGTTTCTAAGAAGTCAAAACCAGAGAATACAGACATATGTATATGCATATATACGTTTAATCTCTAGATCTTCTTCTTCAAAGCATTAACATTCTAATTGTCTTATTTATAAATCAGTGGCTTACTAGCTAACGGGTTTTAGTAAGAGTATTGCACCTTTGTTCAGAAATACTTTTGAATCCATTAAAAAAAGAAAAAGTCATGCTTCTAACACCAAAAAAAAAAATCTCACATTTTATTTATTTTGACATACTGATATTTCCATAAACTTGCAAGTGGAAGCTCAGTATAAGTCATTTCATATATATAATATACATAAATTATTTTAAAAGTCTGTTCATATACTGGATTCTTTGGGTACAAATAAAAATTAAGATACAGATAATTGACAAGAAATAAAATGATTACTAAACCAAGATACACAGGAGCTGCACTTCACTGCATGAAAAAAATCAAATCATTCTTAATGTGTTAGAAGAATAAAGTTCATTTGTTATAGTATATATTATCATATTTCCTCAAGGTAGGGACCAAAGTCTTTTTTTATTAAAACATGTTCAGGCTTACTTCTTTTTTTTTTTTGTTCTTTTTTATTTCAGGCTTACTTCTGTGTACATTCAGAAACTACAATCATACCAATCGTTGCACAAAATTTATCATGCAAAATCTCAGCCATTTTCAAAGATCTAATTAGGTCAAACAATAAACCAGTAATAGCAATTAAACTAGCAAGCTGTACAACAGGGTGGTAGAGACAACGGTTGAACTGTATTTTCTGTGTCTAGTACTGCTGCTACTTAGTCTATTTTCTCCACATATTAAAAGAGTTAGTAGGCATTTATGATCAAAACAAGAATTTCACGGATGTAGCAAATGAGAGACGCCGTGAGAGAAGGGAGCATTTCTAATCGTTCCTAATGTATTGGTAACCCTTAGATACTTTATGAAGGTAAAGGATTGTGTTTTGTGTGGAAAAGAAATGGAAACATAGGAAGGAGGGAAAGGCAGCTATATTAAAATGATTAGTAAGATAGTGATTTAGATTATCTATTTTTTAAAAAGGATCTGAAACCTGCCCATCTAATGTACCAAAAAACAGCAGATTTTTTTTTTTTTTTAAACAGAGCAGATTTTAGTGTAAGTTTAACCCAATAATTTAATTGTGGGGAAAAGCTAGTTTTGATGAGAAAAAGTTGAACCTTTTTCAAAGAAACCCAAGAATTTAAAAAGTATTAAGTCAAGAAAAGCAGACAGTAACTCTTAAGTCTTTTCAATTAAACAAAGCTTGTTTAATTGAAGAATGTTGATATTTTTTAGCCTGAATACTTACCAACCTGCTGTTCCAATTAATTTTTGACTATAAAACCAAAACCACAAACACTTTTTAATAGTAGTAACTATGTCTAGAACAAAATAAATTAGGCTCCCACCCCTCAAAAAAGATAGTTTAACCTCTAACGCATAAAAAGCTATATTATCTTATACAAATGAACCATTGTTCTTATAAAAGTAATGTGGTTTTGGACTAATGATATTACACCATGTTTGTGGTGAAGTACTAGGCACAATAATATACATATCAATTAGGTATTTTCAGGCTAATCAGTCTCTATGGTTACCATTTAATTCTTGGCAATATATTATAATTGGTATGTATTTCAGCACTGAAATAATGAATTGTAGAGAACAAGAAGTGTATTATAGTAACAGGTTTATATTTGACAATTGCAACGTTGAACAAATCTCTTCTAAGAACTATGATTTGTGTTGCAGCTGGTCACTCATAGTAAATCCTGCAAAGACAAAGTAAAAAAGTCAACATAATTTGTTTATGACATATTTCCAACATTGGAGCTACCTGAGCTAATGTCTCTGCCATTGGCACAGATAATAAATATACAAATTTTAAATGCAAACAAGATGTTTCATCTATGTTAACATAAAAGACACCTCCAAATACTCTAAAGGACAAAACAGAAGAATCCCCTTGGTGATGAAGTCTGAAAATCAATGTTGGAAAGCTATGACACATTTTGACTTTAAGGAGTTTCAAACACATCTTTTATATTAAAAATATGTTCCATTTTGAAAAGCTCAAACTTTAATTTAGATTTTTATGACCAATAAATATAACCAAAACATTCCAAACAAAACAGACATCATCACTGCCTAAAGCCAAGTAAACCATTAAAACATAGCCTTATCAACAAATGGTTTAAATTAAATCAACTCAGGGAATAAAAACTTTATTATTTTGAAACTGGCTACAAAGGTTGAAATTTTAGAAACCTTTGGCATAGTAAGAAAAGTTAATCTCGGCAAAAACTTGAGGTCCCTAAGTTAAAAGCAACATAAAGGACATCATCACTTTAGGCACGAAGGACCACGAAATCCCTGGTGAAGGACATCATGCCTGGTAAAGCTGACGGTCAGCATACAGAGGAAGACCCTCAACAAGATGGACTGACACAATGGCTGTAAACAATGGATTCGAATAGCAACAAATGTGAGGTGGGTGCAAGGCCAAGCCGTTTCCTTCTGAGGCACACTGATAGCATCGCTATGAGATGGCACCTGATGCTCGTAACTAACAACAACAGAACCATGGAGCCTTAGCGATATTGTCAAAATATCTAACCTTGATTTGATTCTTCTGTATTCATCTTTTCTCCATCTGCACCCTCTAGCATTTCTTCAGAGTCATCCTCCTCGTCATCATGCAGGTCTTTTGAAATTAATTGTCTAGCTAATTTAATATTCAGTCCTTCGTTGTAGTGGAGCTTCCTTTTCATTTCAAACTGTCGCTTCTTTTCTATGGGACAGAGTCAGAGCAAGCTTATGAAGAGTCCTTAGCACAGGAACTCTCAAACTGCAGTCCAAGTCTCTTTTGTAACTAAACTTTTATCAGGACGTAGTCATGCCCATTTGCTTTTGTAATGTGCAAAGCTACTTCAATACTCAATGGCAAAGTCAAGCAGTTAGATCACTTAGTCTGCAAAATATTTGCTATTTGACCCTTGATAGAAGTTTGTGACCCCTGCTTGGAATAGTTCAAAAACGTAGGATGAATAAGATGGAGCTGTTAGAAATTACATTGGTGAAGAAAATGTAAAGATATGGAAACTTATCTAGAAAAAGCTGTATGGGGGGAAAAGCCATTCTATAATACCATATATAGAATTTAACTCTTGTGCCAACTCTTTTAAAAAATATTCATTTTACGGGGAAGGAGGAAAAAAAGTGGAGTTAATACCAAGGGCTCAAATAGAAAGTAAAGGTTTAGAAAATGATGATGGCTACATATGTACAAATATGCTTGATATAATTGATATATGGAATGTTATTAAATGCTCCCCAGAAAATTTATTTAAAACACACACACACACACACACACACACACACACACACACACAATTATTGTGTTTTGATGAGAGTTGACAGAGCAAATTAGGTTCCCATTAAACAATTTCTATACATATTGGTCAATGACTTTGGCTACATTTTCCACACTTTATTAACATTTTTTAGTGGTTTTTATACAATATTCACATATCATGCACTGCTATGATTAATTTGCTTTTTAAAAAATGAGTTGTATATACATAATCATGATCAGGTCTAGTGCTTGCACTTTTAAGGACTAATGGGAAAGCTGCTACTAAAAGGTGGTAGTTTGAACCCACCCAAGACCTGGTGACATAGGCTCCGGTATAGATTGCAATTTAGGAAGCCCTCTGGGGCAGTCACCGTGGGCTGTTAAACTCAGAATTGACTTAATGGCTCATAACAGCAAGCCCTGTGTCCACATGCACACACATTTGCACATAATTCAGTGAAAATAAGACAACAATCAAAACTGGTTAATTCTGAGCCTGGAAACTTTGAGGTAATTTTATTTTTTCTAAGTTTTCTATTTTTGTTATTAAAATATATATCTTTAAAAATCTTTATTATCCAGGGAGGCAGGGGAAAAATGAGGACCTAATGCCAGGGGCTTAAGTGGAGAAGAAATGTTTTGAGAATGATGAGGGCAATGAATGTACAAATGTGCTTTACACAACTGATGTATGGATTGTGATGAGTTGTATGAAACGATTAAAAAAATCTTTATTATCCATTAAGAAACTTCGATGATTTGAAACATTGCCAGCTAAAAATATAACCTCAGGATTTTCAGAACCTATAAATTCCCAGAGTAATTTGAAGAAAAACCTGTTAGAATATGTTGAAGTGATTCTACAATATTTTATTTATAGTCTCTATGACAAACACAAGGCTGATGGAAATCGAATTGATATTATTAATAGATGGTAACTTCAAAGGTCTATATGAAACTGCCAACTGTTTATTCATAAGTGTATTCATAAAATATTTTAATGTTAAAATACTTTAATGTCAAAAGCATAGATATCTCAATATAAACATCGCTTCAAAGTAATTTTCAGAAAAATTCAGTATTGTCACTTTATTTTGATACATGCTGACATCAAGATTTCATTTTGTCAGCAAGTAGAATTTTTTCAAGTCTAAAGGCTATTCAAAATACTTTCTCAATGTTCTCAAAGAACCTTTAAGTTTTTCCCCCAACTACTCTCTATAGTTCTCTTTGGGAGAAAGAGGAGGCTTTCTACTCCCATACAGTTTCAGAAACACACAAGGCAGGTCTACTCTGTCCTACAAGGCCGTGCTATGAGGTTGTTGGTGATCTGAGTAGAGTAACAGATGCTTCTCCTTTAAAAATAGATATGCATGGTTCATGTTATGACTGCTCACTTTTCAGCCTGTACTTGAGTTAGGAGGGTTTGGAAACTTCTGAGTCATCGACATCATAAACATTTGCCTCACACGATCAAGATCTTGTCTCCTTTCTTCTCTTCTGATTTGTTTTGCTCTTTGAGAGTGCTTCATTGCAAAAAGAAAACAAAAAGAAACAACAAGAAGGCTGAGCTATTTTACTTTGTTATTGTTGTTTGTGGACGGTATGTGTGTATTTTTCTGTGTGTGAAATCCAGAATAGGTATATGTATAGACACAGTAACACAATTAGAGTTTTCTTAGAGGTATGGCAATGGAGGTGGAGGGGAAATGGGGAGCTTATAACAATGAATACAACAAAGAAGAAAATATTATAAAATTGATTGTGGTGGTGATTGTACAACTCAGTATATTGAACTACTGAATTTTATTATATATGATTAAACGCCAATAAAACTGTTAAAAATTAAAATTTTTTAATTTAACTTTTTTGGCCTATCCAAAGGAAATAAATGGTTAATTTTGCTATCCTGCTAGGCTTAAAAGGTCCAATCCCAAAGAGGTTGAAGGGGGACTCACTACCATCAAAATAAGCCAAAGTTGGCTCCAGAGTTCCTGCACTAACAACCCCCCAGAACCAGGAAAGAGAGTTCACACTGAGCTGATAGTAAGTTCATCAAACACGGGCAAGAAAACTGAGTGCCTTTGGGCCAGAGGTGGAGCTAAGGAGCTGTATTATGTTCCTGAGCAGGGCAGAGGCTGAGAGTGAGGGCTGGTGGTGGGCACAGCTAAGAGTGAGGTTGGAAGATGTCCTGATTGATAAACTGTATCCTATCTCCCGGGCTGTTACTATTACTTCCAAGTTAATTTTGATCCCCGAATTGGTTACTTCTCAAATAACACCCGTAATTGGGATTATGGTCTGTGAGTTCTATGTAGTCATTACAACCGATTGTCAAACCCAGGAGAAGTAGAGTGCTGAGAAAGGAATGGCTTGTGTCAGAAATCTTAAGTTTAGAGAGTGGAAGTATATGTCTGACCTCTTGACAGGAATCAGCTTTGGGTCAAAGTAAATTTTCAACTTTCCCCTGAAGCTCAGTGAGGTCTGACACAGTTCACGTTTCAGGAGGGTGGGAGAGAGTGCTGCCTGGGAGTTGGTTACAAGGATGGAGAAGTACAAAAAGTGAGAATTGGATCAATGTCCACATTTAGGAAATGGTGGATTCATGCTGATCCTCACCACGCAATTGGAGATGGTGAGATTTGCCTCTTATTCAGCACATGGCATATAGTATTCTCTTAAAATTAGTTAGAAAGTATTAGTTTCAACTGTTTCAGTGATGCAGACAATCTTATGTATTCTTTTTTCATTTCAAGGGGACTTTAGTTTGTGGCAAAATGGAATTAAAAGGGAATGGAACTTCACAAAGGTTTTGAAAGTTCACACACACTACTGTTTTTCATACTGTGTATGATTTTTAAAAAATACTTTTATTGGGGGCTCTTACATCTATGACAATCCATACATTCCTCCAGTGTGTCAAGCACATTTGCACATATGCTGCCATCATCATTTTCAAAGCATTCTCTTCCCACTTGAGCCCCTGATATCAGCTCCCCATTTATTCCCCCTCCCTCCCCCTGCCTGCCCTTCCTCATGAATCCTTAATAAGTTGTAGATTATTATTTCCATATCTTACATCGTCCTCCGTTGCCCCTCACCCACTTTTCCGTTATTTGTCCCCCTGGGAGGGGGTTCTAGATTGATCCTTGTGATTGATTACCCCTTTCTGCTCCCCAACCTCTTCTAATCCTCCTGGTATCTCTACTCTCATTGTTGGCCCTGAGGGGTTTATCTATCCTGGATTCTCTGTGTAGCGGGGCCATCATGTTTCTTTAGTGGGTTGCAGGCAGTATTAAAAAGAAAGAAAATAGAACAAATTGGAATAATAATAATAAGTAATGCTTTGTAAAATTTTGAATTTTTCAAATTGGATGTTTAAGTGTATAAACTCCAAACCAAATTCACTGCCATGGAATTGATTCTGACTCCCGGCAACCCTACTGAGTGGGATTTGCTTTAAAAGAATGTGGAAAACATCGGGTTAAACCATGGGGAATTGAATTGCTACATCATGCTGCACGTTGCCATCAAGTCCTCCAGAAGGGAGGGCAAATCCACTTTACACGGCCTACCAATAGCATCAAAGTAACTGACATCTCCACATTCAAGAGAGAGTACTTTTTTTCATTTTTATTGATCTGAAAGGAAAGAAAGGTACCATGAGTCTATTTAACTTGTAGTTTTTAATTCCGAGGATTATTAGGAGCATTTTCTCTTTTCTGAATTATATTTCCAATCTTCAGAAAATCACTTATTTCCAAGGTTAAGACATACTGAATTTGGTTTTGCTTGTTATAAATTTTTTATATAATTTAAAAGTATATAATGTATTCATTTCATAGTAAGCTGTTAATATAAGTGGTTGCAATCATCTCTGGATATTTATAATAACTTTATAATCCTTGTTTGACCGAATACAAGGACATTTAAGTTTTTCTGTACTTTTTCTCCTCCTCTTCCATAACTAATATAATGTGCCTGATTGTTTTGTATTACTTAATAGAACCTCTAAATTACTTTAGTCATTAAAAGTTGATGTTCACTGAGCACTTTCTACATGTCAGAATCAGTGCTCAGTACTTTATTTCAATGCTTTACCTCACTTAATACCAACCACTGACTCTAAAATATCTTTAAAGCTAATTTAGAAGTGATGAAACCAAATGTCTGAGAAATTAAGCAACTCAGTGAAGTGACATTGACTCTAGAGTCAATATTCTTATAAGATATGATAAAAAAATTTTAATGCAATAACCTTTGAGTGTCTACTACATGCCAGGTATATTCTCATGGAGAAAATAAAAAATATACCAAAAATAAATAAAATATTTTCATAAGTGCCACAAAGAAAACTAAACAAGGTAATGGGACAGTGAGTGTTGAAAAGTAAAGTGTTTCTTTTGACAGGGAAAGAAAAGATTAGCATTTAAAATTTTAAAAAATAATTTTATTGAGGGCTCTTACAGATATTTTAACAATCGATAAATCAATTATAGCAAGCAAACTTGTACATATATTACCATTGTCATTTTCAAAATATTATCTTCTACTTGAGCCCTTATTATTAGCTTCTCTTTTTTCCCTCCCTCCTCCACCCTCATGAACCCTTGATAAATTACATATTATCATTATTTTCATATCTTACACCATTTGTTGTATCCCTTTACCCACATTTCTGTTGTTTGTCACCCTCGGCGTGGTGATGGGGGTAGAGTTGTACATCCATCACTGCTATCGGTTCCCCCTTTCTCACTCCCCTCAAAGATTAGCATTTGATTTGAAAACTGAATGTTGCTTTTCCCAACATAAAGCTAAAATGCACTATGATAAGGATTGTCTAAAAACATGAAACTTTATACAATTTTCTCAAATATTTCTCAATATTTTCTCAAATCTTTCATCGCTCAAATGATTTTATACACTAGCTATACATGAGTAGACATTTTAGTGAGCTTATATTGTAAACAGGCTGATTTTCTAAGAACTTTCACTGTCAAAAAAAGAAAAAACAAGGTTTTTCAAAATTTGCTTAAGGCAACAAACATCTATATAAAAAAGCAGTAGCTGAATTAATGGAATTAAAACAAAACCAGCAAATAGCTCCCCCTGCCGGCTGAGTCATGGAACCACAATGAAGAACAATAGTCCTTAATGAGAACCAATATAAGGGGTTTTAGCTTACTAATGAATTCCCTGATCTCAACAGGTTTGAGCTTTTAGAGAGCAATGAAGAAAAAACCTCTAGAAACAATTTATATTTGGAGCCCTTTTAAGGAACCTCACGGTAAAATTTGGGAAAATACAGATGGTATTACCACGTAAGGTAGAAGAAAGGTAGAAAAACACTAATTTCTTTTACAACTATTAGGTGCATTTCATCAAATTTTTTGTTGAATAAGTTACAATATAAAGATTATAGGAAAGAACAGCCAAGTCATACTGCAGTAGTTACACATGACAAAGATCTTGACAGTTAACTAGCAAATATTAAGAGCCTTAGTTCTAATATTTCAGTACAGTATAGGTAGTCCTACCATTTCAAGGCTTCCCATAGACTTCTACTCGTTTCCCTCGTTTTTGTTTTAAAGTGTATTTCCTTGCATCTCTTTTTTTCTATACGTAGACATGGTTTGTTCATTTGAAAGACAATTGAAAATAAACTATATACATCATTTTTAAATCCCTGAGGACACTTAGGAGCCCTGGTGGCACACGGGTTAAGCACTGGGCTGCCAACGGAAAGGTTAGTGGTTCAATCAGGAGAAAGCTTTGGCAGTATGCTTCATATCAGCTTTGGAGATCCTAGGAAGCAATTATACTCTGTCCAACAGGTTCACTGTGAATTGCAATGAACTCGAGAGCAGTAGGTTTGTTTTGTTTTAGAGATGTAATCTACATCCACACAGTTCAAAAAGTGCCAAATGCAACAAAAGTGGAATATCAGCGCTCTGCCCTCCCACCTCAATTGGTAGGCACGCTTACATGTAAAACCACAGACAAATGAAGTAGGCAGCAATACTGCAATTGTCTGTGCTATCCAGGCTACCAGACATCCTTTTCCATTCCTAAAGAGGGGACTAACTTTCTCCCTTTCCTACGACACTCCTGCTCTTTTCATTCAATGGACCTTCACTCTATCAAGTGGTCCACTTGCTAAGTGCCACCACTGTCTTAAATAGGCAAAAACACAAGCAATTACCTCTTGTATTTAATAAGATCATCCAAACACTCAATTGCTCTAAAAATACATAGCACACTAAAATAAACCATGGAAGCAGGACTTAGAATTTTTTAAAGGACAGTATATTTTCCAAAATTCTTAAATCAAGGAGGGGGGATGTATTATACAATAAACCCATATAAGAAGAATCCATATTATAAAAACACTGCTCTCCATCCTCCTGCTTCTCCAAAAGGGCATCCATTTGCCAATTTTCTAAATGGTAGATTTATCTTAGCAAAAATTGTGAATATAATGATGACAGCAATAAAGCTACCTTGTTCTTCAGGTGACAGGTCATAATCCTCCTCCTCCTCACTGCTTTCTTGGTCCTGAAGCCGATATTTTGGGTCAAAGCCTTCAGCAGCAGTTAATCTACACAACAATCATTTACACACAAGTCAACACTGTGATAGTGTCGTCTAATGCCTGTCCCCCGCCCCCGCCCCCCAGTCCCTGGTAAGGAAAAAGGCTTATTTAAACAGACTGAGATAATAGCTGTTAGCGATTTCAGCATGCCTCTGGACACCAACCAAGAGTGAGTTCTGGTTAAAGGTAGTTTGTAACACTGTGATATTCTTAGATTATTCAAGCACCATATTCAACTTTTGAGTCTCACAAGAAGATCTAGAGATCAGTACTAAGCTAGCTGTCATAACCTGATAAAGAAAATAAAAACCAAGAGTGGGAATGGGGGCTAGAAGTCACTGAGTAGCAAAGGATGGCAACATCCGTCTCATTCACTTACTTCTTATTTACATCTTTAAAATGCAGCTGTCAAGAAAATTAAAAAAAACCCAAAAAACCACAGGCAGAGCTGACTCACCTCAGAACCTCAAGTTAAAGTACTCCAATGTTCCTGCCCCCTATATACCCAAGAAATTACACAACAAAGTTGGCAAGGAAAAACTTAGCACGTTTCTCACTGTATAAGGAAAGCACAGTAACATGTCTTCCATATGCACAATGAAATACAGCACACCTGAAAATACTTGATAGTCAGTCGTCAGTACTTACTTCTTAGCTAAGATATCGGGGGTCATGGCTTCAGTGGTTTCTGACTCACTCAAAACATCATCATCATCACCAATCATACTGAAATGACAAGCACATTATAATTAATATCTGGAACAAAATTTTGCAAGTAAGAAAACAAAATACTATTGTCTCAGTTAAAATATCGATGTATTTATAGTTCTATAATCTTTAAAGTTTACTTCATTTCTGTCCATTGCAAATATTCAAAAAGTATAACACCAATCAAGGAAGGCCTCTAACTGAAACCATTAAATTACTGGAAACTCAAATCATTGGGGGGTGGGGTGGTAATTAAAATATCACAAAATTTCAATTTTTCCACTCAGTAGGAAAGAATAAATCAGGAGAAAAACAAAACAAACAATTCTGGCTTCAGAATATGTATTTATACATCAACCTGAAGGCAGAGCCAAATGATTTTTGCAGACACAAGACTAGGTGAAAATAACAAAATTAGATCGTAAACACCTAATTCAGGAAATGTAAAAGCCATTTAGCATTCCCATTCTCCCCTCTGACCAAGCCCCTGAAAAGTACCTAAAGTAACAGATAATAAAATTCTTCCAAATCTCATGGAGCTCTTATTCACAACAAACCAAAACAAAACCCCAAAACAAACCAAAACCTAGCAATAGCCAAAATGCTATCTTCCTGGGTCGTTAGAGATTGAGTGAGTGAGTCCCATAGGTTAGATGATGCCCTCGCGTTGTTTCCAAGGGAAGCTGAAGCCAATTTACTCACATTACTAGGTCTAATACCTAATTAAGCAGAATAGGCAACATAAAATTTGTCAATTTGCTACTCATATAAGATTCATTTTACAAAATTTACAGATGAATTGTGTGCGCCCAGTCAATAAAAGAAATAACAACCTTCTGTACATTGATACTGTGAGGCTTTTGTCGTAGTATTAACATGATCTTTACATTAAAAGCACCTTCTGTTATATACAATTCTTTTAAACAGTGGGGTGTGGGCATGAAAGGAACTGGTAAAGCCAAGTCCTGGACCCATATCTGGGGGGACGTCAAAAAAGGTTGTGGAAAAGTGGAATTAAGAGAAAATGGATTTTTTCCACTAGTTTTTTGAAGCCCCTTGTATTTGGGCAAACAATAGCCTCAATTACTTAAAGGCCAAGTAACTTCTTAGTAACTATCAAAGAAAAGACCTAGGGGTAAAGTAAAGGAAAAAAAGGAAGTACCAAACTATCTACCATTCAAATTGATTACATTATAAATATGAAAATGTAAAAATAACAGTTACAGCCATTAAAAACTAATTCTTTTAGGATAGTTATCCCTAACCAAAACAGCCAAGTGATTTACTGGAAAGGGAAAAAAATCCTAACTTCAGATTATGGCATAATAAAGGTTCTAAGATATGTTTTGAAGTATAGGCCTGTAATTAGGAGAAAAACAGATATAAATTTTCCATAAATGTTTTATTTTTCCACTCAAACTTCATTACTATCAATCTGAGTATCTATACTTCCTTTCCCATTATTTGTTTCTACCCGTGCCACTAGGGTGGAGCCCTGGTGCTGTACTGGGGACGAGTCGGGCTGCAATCCTCATGGTCTGCAGTTCCAAACCACCGATGCATTAGAGGAGGAGAGATTGGGCTTTCTACTCCCGTGAACAGCTACAGTGCTATGGTTGCTATCGGTTGGCGTGGACATGATAGCGGTGAGTTCGTGTGCGTAATCCACGGCACTAGCTTCAATATCATGTCTGAACTCGTTTTTACTGTCTGTTATCAACACATCTCAAATCATCTTCCAAAATGCTCATCCATGGTTTTAAAATATAAAATATAATCCTATTTTTAGCTGTAACCCTGGGTTTGCATTGTTTTACTTCAATGACAAAATATTGTATCTCTGGAAATCTTGTTCTCCAGTGCATCTTCTCCTGATTTTTATTGGCTATTTTGTCTTCATACTGACTAGTGTTACACGTTATCATTTCACAATCTAATTTTTTAAAACTGCCAAACATCACAATGCAATTATCTGAACTAAATTACTAAGGTAAATTCAAAATTAAGGATATAATGACAAGCAGCCATCTAAGTTCACATGAAGAAGCTGTGATCCACATAACAAATTCCAAATATGATGAAGGGAAAAGGGTCAGAGGTTAAATTGTGAACACCCAATTTGGAGAAGGCTAGGAGAACAGTGGGAGCCCAGATCCATCTGCAGAATTATCTAGTCAGATTAAGTCTCTGGCAGAGGCTTCTAGACACAGACAAGGGTTAGTAAGCAGTGCTCCAGTAACAAATGTAAAATAAAATGCAGATTCAAATTGGCTATTATCCAGAACTATCACATGTAAAATGAATACAAGTCAAAAAGTCAAATGTTTACATAACATTACCTATGGTAAGGAGTGCTAGGTTCATCTATTTTCATTAAACCATAGTCTTTGTCTGCTGGATGATATGTTGCCAGGATGTTCATTTCATCCCACTTCTGGGACTTTTTACTACACACACAAAAAAAGTTCACACATTTAGAATTCACAGACACCCAAATTCCACATTTCAACCTATGTTTGACCAATAAATATTATATTTTACATGTAATTTCTTGGAACAGAAACCAATTTAGAGTAAAGGCTTAAAAAGATAAGTATTTATAATCAAATATACCACTGGTATTTATAAAATATTTCTCTCACATATATTAAATAATAGTATTTAGAATTTACATTAGGCATTCAAGACACTGATAAGCTTAGTCTTCATCTGGCCCTACAGAATTTTTAACAGCAAAAATGGAAAATCTACACATTGCTTGATCTCAACAACTATGGAATTTTTAGTTTAATAACAATAGAGATATTTCTTTGACCTAGTTCATTAACATTGAAAAAATCAGAAAATAAAACTTTAGGGGAAAACCTCATTTAATTCAGATACCACTAAATAATTAAGTTAGAAGTAAAATTATAGCCCATACTTTTAGTCTAAAAAAATGAAAGTTTGCACAGAAATGGTATAATCAGATACTTTCTGGGAGACTCAAAGCACCAAAACTTACAACACAATGATCTAAACTGTAAGTTAAAAAACATAGGCACAAATAATAATAATGACCAGTTAGTTACTTTTGAGCTAAAATATACCACTACCACCATGGTTTTTAAGCCCTTGTTTTGTACTTAAAACTACTTTACAAAGAGTCAACATTATAGATGTTACACTAATTCTGCATTTTGTTCAAATCGTTGAGAACTACTATAGTTCTAATTTTCTTATATGTACCAATACTCAGATCCTGAAATGCCCTTGAAGAGTGGCACTTAAGGTTTTTTTGTCTCATTTCCCTCTTCATGCACTCAAAAGGGTTTGCTAAGTCATTACAGGTGCCCACCCATGGCAATTAACCCTAACTGTATGCCCCCTTGCTTCCTGATGAACCCAGTGTGCCCATTTCAGGAGTTACTTTGACTACAACTTCCTGTCACACCTTATCTTTTTGATACCTCAGGAGTCAAAGGTAGACATCAGTCCTGGCACACATTCCACAAGTAACCCCTCTCACTTTTCCCTAAAGTAGCACAGCAGTTGCCCGATGTCTTTCACTGCATTTTAAAATAACTGCCTTTTTATTCATTTAGCATAGAATTAACCTGGACATCCACTCAATGTACTTGAAGTTTCAACTAATCAGATTAAAATGTCACTAGGATTAAAAGAGGCGGCTGGAGTGAACAAGTCATAGGAACCACCACTAGGAGGACAGCACAAGACTGCAGCATTTCCTTCTGCTGAACACAGGGTCACGACAATCGGAACCCAACAACTATACCCAACTTGAGTCCTAGTAACAACCCTTCTTACAGTATTGCATTCTTGAGAGTGATCACTGTATAATGTCTGTTTAACCAATGATAAAAAACAGCATACAAAATCTGGGGCGAAAATGTCCTGAGACCTCAGCACTGTAAGTAATGAGTTCATGTAAGCCACCCAGAAGAAAGTTTAAATAGCTTTCATGCAGAATTCCTTCAACCTTTGGCCTACAAGATGCAAAATTAAAAATACTTTGAAATATTTGATATGTCATAAAATGAGAATTTCGAAAAAGTAACCAGTTTTCAATATCTGACTAAATCTAGTTTTAGAGATTTCATTTACTATTAAATAGCTCTACTATAAACTCCCATCTAAGGTACAATAAAAAAATAAATAGCTCTATTATATACAGATTTCTGTACATTTAGAATTAAGAAGGAAACAAAAGCATTTGACTGGTAGAATAATGCAGAAACAGGAGCTTTTGACTGGTAGGATAATGTGGAAAAATGACCTAAGTTTTAAGAGTAGATTAATTTTTGTGAAAACCCAATTAATGAAAAGAAACCTTAGATACCATAATGAAATGTTCCTTTTCCAAATAAACAATGTCTCTGAAATGACAGCCAGTGATGAGAGACAGAACTGGAGGAGCATAGGGAAAAGTTCCATCAACTCTAAACTGAGAGTGCCTGGGTGGTATATATTAACTGCTAACCAAAAGGCCAGAGGGGAGTCTACCCAGTGGTGCCTTAGGGGGAAGGCCTGCTGAGCTATTCCTTGAAAGCCCTATGGAATACACTTAGATGAAGTTCAAAGAATGAAAAACTGAAGTAATGACAACAAATGGTTTCCTTTAGGAAGAAGGAAAAGATTGCATGTATCAAAACTATTTCTCCATATATTCCATTATGGATTATGTTTTATGTGTCCACTTATCCTGATGAACAAGTTAGGATGTTTCCACTTTCTGGCTA